GAAGAAGAAGAAGAAGAAGAAGAAGAAGAAGAAGAAGAAGAAAAAGAAGAAGAAGAAGAAGAACTTTTATTCCCCCTCAACAGCAACTCCTATGCGCTTTACAATCTTTTATACTGTCACAGCAGCCCTGATAGAATTCAGGAACAATATCAACTTCCTGGGAAGCATACAGTGCAAGCTGCCATTTTACAGGTTCTAAAACACAAAGACAATGAGAGGATCTTTCGTAGTGTAAATCCTTGAAAAGCGATTTTGGGTGTGCCCTGTTAGCTCAGTTGGCACTTTGTTGGACAACAGAGCTCACGGCCGTGGTTCGAATCCGCAACATGGTGTTCTTGAACTGGAGTTGTTTTAGGCAGTTGTCAAGTCTCTCAGTGGGTGGTTGGAGAGTGCCACTGAGAGGTCCTATACTTCTTTTCTCCCCCTCTGTTGTTTCTGTCTATCTGTCTTATTATTCCTCCGCATTAAATGACCGTTATTGTGTCGATGTACTTCTCTTTAATCAAACAAACCAAAACAAAGCAAAGACAAACAAACAAACAAGCAAACAAGCAAACAAATAGGGCTCTCAACCCACTTGGCCCTGTGCTATCGGGGAACGACGTTCAATCCGGAGGACCCGCCTCTTAAAGGTAATAATAATATGTTAGGCATCGAGGTGAAATCAGGCGCTCGTCAAAATAATGAAATGTGCTTATTTATTCATTTTTTAAACAGGGACTTCTCTGTTGGGCAATTTTTTTTTACGTTCTTTTTTTTCAGGGGGAGGGGGGCATTTTCTCGCTAGCTTTACCCATGAAATCAGGCGACTCCCCTCCTCCTTCAACTGCAAATATATCGACTTCTATAAAAGATAGATGGGTATATTTTTCATCAAAAGCAAGGAAAATGAAAAAAGCTTTAAGACCATACCAATAATTCCATATACCTAAAATTGACAAGTGCCTGATTCCACCACATCATGTCACATTTCTATCCGTATTTAAAGGGGTGTATACAATTGCTAACTTTCTCACTAAGCATTTAAGAATTTTCATAGAGGGATCCTACCCTCCACTCACCCCGTATACTTCCCGCTTCCCGAAATCGGATATGGACTTTTTATTTGAATCTTGAGCTTTTGTCTTGAATTCCGAATCCTCACTAGAGCTCATGACACCACGATCTTTCTTTAGCTAATTAATGCGCTAATATTAAGATGGCGGATGCCACGGGTTTGAGTCATATTTTTAGATTATGGAAATATAGCTTCGTCTGTTCTAGTTATCAACTTGCTGTGTATTCCATTGTTATTATTTTCATGCTGGAAATAGATTTACAACAACAACAAAAAAAAAAACCATTCATAAGCCACACCTCAAAAGACATAAATTGCAAGTTGGTGCAAACTAGAAAGTGAAGAATTAGTTTTAAGGAAAAGCATACTTTTCAGCAGTTCATGTGTGACCTCGGAATATAACGTCCATCTCCGATAAGATCGAACCAAGAACTGGTGGAGAGCTTTTGTAAATTCCGCAAACAATTTAAGTCGAAAAAAGCCCCCCTTTTTTTGGAGATTCGAACCATGACCATCCGCACAACAATAGCTTATTATGAAAACAACTGAGCTAACGTTGCAAAAAATTGTATCGATAGGAACGCAAAACATTCACATAAGTATACTCACCACTTCCCAGATCCCCATTACTGTCGTCCTCATCATCGTCATCATTATCGTCATGAGGAGCATCTTTGCTATCAACATTCTTCACAACGTTGGCGCCTCCATCCTCGGCTTCCCCCTCCCCCTTCTCTTCCTCCAACGAATCCTCTTCATCCTCCCACCCATCCTCTTCCTCGCTATCATCACCATCTCCCCAGCCTCCCCAACCCCAGCCTTCATCATCCTGTAGATCAGAATGCCCAACGTGACTCGGTTCCACAGTCTCTTCATGACCCTGCGGGACGACGCTGTAACCGTTAGACGGTGTTCCATCAGACTTTTTTCTATCAAACAGTTTTTCATCTGATAGTTTTCCAGTCTGAACAGACCCGTTATCGAGACTTTTCCCTCCGTCGTGATTTTTCCTCCACTCTTTTTTATTCTTCCGTTTCGATTTCCCTCCTTTCTTCCACCAATGTCTTTTATTGTTTTTGGGTTTTCTGTCTCCCCGCAGTTTCACTTTCATTTTTCTATCCGTCTCAGCTCTGACTCCAGCAGATTTATCCTTCATGGCGCCACGTACATTAACAGTTGTTTTCTTTCTTTTGTCCAGCTGGGCATTTTTCGCGGGAAGTTCAGAAACGTTTTTTTCCTCAATCAGGACACCAGGGAAAGCAACCCCATGAGATGAGACCATTCTCTGATCTCTCATCATCTGTTCAGTTGGAGTAGAGTTCGAACCTTCATCAATTCCACGAGTCACTGTCTTCTCTAAGGTGTTAACCTTCTTCTTATTCTTGGTGTAATCAGATATGGACTCTTTATTTGAATCTTGAGCTTTTGTCTTGAATTCCGAATCCTCACCAGAGCTTCTGGCACCATCATCTTCCTTTAAGTGTTCTTGCTTCTCCAACAGCCCCATGGCTGACCTTACCAGATTGGACACTTTGTCCATAAAACTCATGGAAGTAGGAGCAACCCAATCTTGACCACCTCCCACCAGCAGTTTCTCTGCCTTGTTCTTCTGAGGAGTCTTATATCTCTCGTCGGTGCCGGAATCTAAACCAAAACTTAACGACTCAGGCTTAGGGGGCGTCCGCTCTGTATTTTTCCCAGGTCTGACCCCGGTGTCCACGTGATCCGAAGCGTCATCCTTGGTCATCTCCTCTTCAGCACCCCTCTCCCTGCCTGACCACCCTCCCCCTGTAGCAATATCTTGACCACCAGCAGCAGCACGGGATAACTCTCTAACCTCTCCCAACCCTTCTTTTCCATGTTGGTGTTTTTTTATCACACGAACCTTGATCATGGGTTCGGGCAGGGGAATGACGTCATCGGAATCTGCGCTTGTCTTCGTATCGGTGAACTTGTTGCTGCGTTGTGCCGCCCCTCCGTGTTTAGACGAATGTCCAGACGATTGCACCAGCGAGACAGCCAATGACAGGCCCAGTAGAAGGGGGGCAAACCCCGACCCCTTCATTCTGACTGGTTGTCCTTCTCTTTTCACAGGGACTTTGTCTGTGCATGAAATAAGAACAAGATAGTCAAGGGGGTTATTGGTAGTGAGGAAAAATATATCTTTTTTGTTTGTTTTTGTATTTGGTGTGTAAATGATTCATTGAATATTATGATTGTTCCTAAACGACCTATTGTAAACCATTGACTGTAAATGACTGACTAAGTACGATTGATAGTAAATTACTTATTGTAAATTATTGGTTGTACGTAACAAGGTCATATTTATATGTGCCGAAGATTGTAGGTGTTACAACAGAACAAAAAATATGTTTTTAAAAGAGGAGAGGTAAGGACGTTGGGTGTTTGATAGGAAAATAGGAGAAAAAGCACACCAGAGCACCCGCCAACCAAACACAAAATATTTATTGAGATTCATCAGTGGCGGGGCGCCATTGGTTCAGTTGGTGCAAGCGCTCCACCTAACCCTGTCCTTCCCCCCCTCCTTTTCTAATTGTTCTAAACCAGTCAGTGCTCTAGATCTACATTACTACATGTACACCCTTGCGATCCGTCACCCGCTGGCTGCGCCAGTGAAGAGACAGACAGCGAGGATGGTTTATGTTCGTGGCACAGCTTGCTGTAGTGTCTGATGGGAGCAAGAAAAATCTTTGCACCAACGTACTTTTGTCACTGTAGAGAAATCTAGGCATCGTTCTTCCCGCACAAGAAGAAAGGTGCTTGAAACTGCTCTTCACAGCACCAATTTGGAGCAAGCAAAAAAAGTTGATCCAAGTTCCCCTAGCCTATCTACTACACTAGAGTCTATGGTAACTCAATGAAGAATGGGTATCAAAAACTGTTGTCTCCCTCTATTGTGCAGCAAGTCCTGTTACTGTTAAGGTAAATCTTCAAATTGAGTCTGGTTGTTGATGCTGTACGGAGTAATTACAAATCTTTAAATCTTCTCAGATAGTGAGCATAGTGAGTTGTTAGTATTGTTTCACTTCATTGCAGCTTTTATGCGGTGTCATCCAGAAACAGTTGTAAATATCGATAGATGTAGATTACGGGAGATCC